GTTATTCTGAGCAAGTGAAGACACAGGAGTAGCTCTGAAAAGCTGTCCTTCTGTAAAAGAAACTTACATCCACAAAAGAAATCTACAGTAGGGAAGTACAGGTTGAATACCCTTCATCCAAAACACTTCAGCCTAGAGGCGTTTCAGATTTCAGGAGGTTTTGGACTTTGGGATATTTGCACTCTACCTACTGGTTGAGAATCCTAAATCTCATTTCCTTGGAGTGCCATATTGGTGCTCAAAGAGTGATGGATTTGAGCATCTTCGATTTTAGGTTTTCAGATTTGGGATGCTCAACTTGTATCTGTAACAGGAGAGAGGATGCTTCCAGATAGCTTTTATGACCTGAGAGACTGTTTCTACATAGCAAGACAACCCTTGTTCACCAGATACTTCCCTCCCATAACCTGGTCACCATCCCTTCCTTCTTTCTTGCAGCTTGAGATACTACACGTAGTCTCCAAGAACCTCCACAGATGCCTGGAACCGTGGATAGAACCCTATAAAGATTATGACTTTTCCTATGCATACCTCTGATAAAAGTTAATGTATAAATTAGGCACAGGCCAGGTGCGGTGTGGCTCTCTATAATAAATCAAGAAAGAAAAATTAGCCGGGTGTGGTGGCACACACCTGTAGTTCCAGCTCCTTGGAAGGCTGAGGCCGAAGGATCGCCTGAGCCCAGCAGGTCGAGGCTGTGGTGGCCGGGAGCGTGCCACTGCCCTCCAGCATGGGTGACAGGGTGAGACTCCAACTCAAAAATAAATAAATAAGGCACAGAATAAAACTGACAATAAAATAGAACAATCATAATAATATAATAAATGTTACAAGAATGGGGCTTCTTTCTCTCTCTCTCAAAATAGCTAACTGTTCAGGTTAACTATCCCTAACTTGAAATGCTCCCAAATCTGAAACTTTTTGAGCACCAGCTTGATACCCAAATAACACTCCTGGATTAGGGATGCAGAACCAGCAGGTATAATGCAAATATTCAAAAACCCCCAAACAGATCTGAAATCTGAAACAATTCTCCTCCCAAGCACTTCATATAAGGGATATCCAACATGTACCGCAGTCACCCATTTTCAGATCTCAGGTAACTGAAACGGTAGAAAGTGAAACCATGAGTAATGGGGGACTACTGTGTAAGCTTCAGTCATCTGATCCTTCCTCTTTTCTTCTTTTTTTTTTTTTTTGAGTCAGGGTCTCACTCTGTTGGCCAGGCTGGAGTGCTGTGGCATGATCACAGCTCACCACAGCCTTGACCTCCTGGGATCAGGCGATCTTTCTGCCTCAGCCTTCTGAGTAGCTGAAACTATGGGATTACAGGCGTGTGCGATGCCCAGCTAATTTTTAATTTTTTGAAGAGATGTGATCTCACTATGTTGCCTAGGCTGTGACCCTTTTTCAAGTCTCATATTTTGCAGAACTCCTGTGCATCCGTACATAATGAAATATGTAGTCTCCTGTTAATCTGTTTTATGCTGATTTACTTCATAGCTCAGTCAAAGATCCTAGAAGGCTAAAGGGAAGCCAGTTTTCACTCCCTTATAATGCCCATTTTACAGATGGAGAAACTGAAGAACAGAGAGGCTAAGTAACGTGTCCACAGTCACACGGTGAAGTAACAGCAGAACCGGCATCCATACCCAGGCCATCAGGCTCCAGAAGACTTGCCCCTAAACACTACGTAATTCTGTCCCCCTCTGATGCCTGGCACACGGCCCTTGGTGAACTAGAGTTGCCTCTCTGACAACTAGTCTTGAGCAGAGAGTTCAGAGGCTCTTCGTGATCACAGCTCCATTGGAAGTATCTGAGCCAAAGAAATAGGTCGTGTAACTCTGGAGGCCCCGGGGGCGATGTCCCTGCTCTCTGAGGCATCTTGCTTGGTGTGGGTGTACAGGAATTTGGCCAGAAGGTGCTGGAGAGGTCCAGAACTGGTTTAGAAGTGCAAGCCATTTGGGACCGAGCCCTTGATGGTACCACTGCCTCAGCACAGGGCCCTGCAGACTGGCCTTCTGGACGACTGGAAGAGATGACCAGAGTCACCAGGTGTGAACACTCTCCAAGGGGTTGACCCGCACCTGCACCAGCACCCATGTGCAGCTCAAGGCTCCAGCTCTGGGTGTTCTGGGCTCTGCTGGACCTGCCCTTACCTGGGGGTCCCGGGACCCCCAAACCCAACCTCAAACCAGATAACACCATAGAGTGTGTTGTCCAACATAGTAGCCACCGGCCATGCATGGTCCTTCAACTGATGCATTCACTCATTCAGTCCTCACGCCAACTCTATGGGGTAGCTTTGATTATCATCTGCGGTTCAGAGATGAGTGGCCAGCCCAAGGTCACGGAGACGGTGAGTCAAGGGGTCCTCAGATCACTGTTTCTACTCCGTGCAAATCAAAATGACCGAAACATATCTCATTACCCTCTGGCCTGGGTGCTTCTCCCCCACCCAGGACAGAGACCCCACGGTTGTCCCGGGCACCCTTCCCTGTCCGCTTTATTCCCACACTGAATCTATCGCCAGGTCTCAGCAATCTTATACCCTGAATGGCTCTCTATTCTAGGGGTTCTCAACCAGGGGCCATTTTACCTACCAGGAGACACCTGGCAATGTCTGGAGACATTTTTAGTTGTCTCATATTGGGGGGAGGGGCACGTAGTGGGTAGGAACCAGGGAGATGACTAAACATTGACAATGCACAAGACAGCCCCCTGCCCCCACAGCCAGCTCTAAATGACAACAGTGCTCAGTTCACGCCCCGTCTCCATCCTCGCTGCCTGGGCTCCTGGCTCCTTCATTCTGAGCCCCATCCAGTCACTGCAATGTCTCCTAAATGCTCTGCACTTACCTGCTTCCCTCAGGGAGTAGCAATACCTGCGGGTTTGTTTTTCCTAAGGGGGGACACAGGTCAGAGCAGACCCAGGCTTCCAGTTCCCAGCCTCCCCTCTGCCCCACAGCTTGGGGCTAGGGAAGGGCTGGCAAGGGTAGGCCCTCCAAGGTCTCAGATTTTCTAGAGTCTGGCCTCATCCTCACACTCCCAAGGCCTGGATGAGACCATCTGTGGCTTCCTGGCCCCCTCCCCTTACAGACTTGCCCCTTCCTCCTCACCACTCCCAAAGCATAGAATTTCAGGCCATCAGTCCCCTCCCTCCTCCAGACTATAAAAGTGGAGAGTTTTAAAGGCCTTATCATTGAGATTTCCACAGCCCCAAGCCCTGGGCTGTATATCCAGTAGGTGCTTAATGCATGTTTCTTGCACATGAATGGAAGGAGGAAGGCAGAGGAGTAGGAAGAATTCTAGGAGCCTTCCACCCCCACCGGTAAGTCTGTGGACCACCAGCGGCAGGAAGAGGGGAGGGACAAATCCTAGCCCTAGCCCTGCCCCAGCCTCACCCAGCTGCTGGGACAGAGAACCTGGGGCGGGGGTTCATCCTTCGTTGCTAAGCCTGTCTGTCCGGTTTCTGCCACCTTCTCACAGTGAGAGACTGGAGGCAGTTGGGGGTCAGCCAGCCCTCCCCCCCACCACCCAGCGGACAATGAAGTTTTGAGACCCACACCCGGCACCCACGGGCTGCTCCCTCTGGAGCAAGGGTGGCAGGCCCAGGTATCCAGAGATCCCCTGTTCCCAACCCCTGCTCCCCCATTTCCCGAGGTCAAAAAGCAAACGGGCAGGAGGTGTTTGCTGAGGAAAGCCCTACTCCAGAAGCCAATGGCCTCGCTGCAAAGCTCCATCAGGACCTTCCCCCACAGGCCGAGAAAGCTGGAGGAAAATGGCAGGGCGTGTGGGGAGCTCTGACCTACCCTTCCTGATGGGGAGATCTGGGAGGAGCCCTCTAAACAGTAGCTGACATTCCTAGGGCTACTGTGCCTAGCACTTAAGTTATCTAATCCCATGTAAGTCCTTAACAAGCCTCTGGTGAGGGTGATGGGCACACATCAGCCAGCTTCTTTGTGGCAAAGCTGGATTCGAACCTGGGCGAGCCAACTTTTACACTTCTCAGGTCAACCAACCAATAAACAAACAATGAAATAGAAGAACTCCTCATTTCCCACAAGGAGACACTCCTTTCCCAGGCTGACTAGTAACATGCACTGGTTCCTTTTGGGGCCAGGGGAGCCCAAATCGAAGCCCCCAAAGTCCGTCAGATTTCCACCCATCAGTACACTTGAAGGGTCCTGACACTCAGGAGTGGAGCATCATGGTGTCTTCCTCCTTCCTGCAGCCCACCTTCCAGGCAGAGGGATCAAAGCACAGGTGAGAAGGCTAATTACTCGTAAAGGCTCCAGATTGCCAGGTGGCCCAGGAACTAATGAGCCACGCTGAGCACCTCCTGTTTACAGACCTGCACTGGCCAGCTCAGGCCCCCGCCGCCTGGGGAAGCCCTGTGGAACTCCTGGGGCCTCAGGAGCAGGTTTGGGAATAGAATCAACAGATGCCAACTCTGGCTCATTCTCCTGGGCACCTCTCCCCACTCACCCAGGCCTGGAGCCTGCCAAAAGGAAGCATGTATCTGGGTTGCGAGGAGGCTGTGTTTTCCTTTGGGGGCAATAAGAAGGGAAGAACGGCCATGGCCTGTGATTCTCAGGACTCAGAGACCTGGAACATTACATCTCACAGGGTTCAACATCTTTCTAGCTCACACTTCACTAAGCCTCCTTGAAAACCCTGGGACAGGTAGGCAGGGCGGATTGCTTTATGCCCATTTTACAGGTGGGGAAACTGAAGCTCCATGAAATGTAGTGACTTGCAGAGATCACACAGCCAGAGAGTCTTGGGACAAGGAGTCCTAACTCACGGGCAGCCTCCTACCCTTTCCCAGAAGAGCCCTTTAACCAGACCCTATTTCCAAAGCTAGGGTTCCAGGAGGCATTTTAGGTAGTGCCAAGTGAGTACTGCACCTTAATCCAGGTAAAAGATACCTGACCCCCAGCCCCAGCCTGTGCCGTCCGGCCCTAAATACCAGCGTTGTCTCTCCTGCTCTCCCCTTACCTTGTTAAACTGGAACAGGTCCCGCTTGAGCCTCTCCCGGGCAAGGTCGTGGCCAGGTCTCAGGAACCGCCTCATCTTGCTTAGTTTGCAGCCCCCACTGGAGCCCTGGAGGGATGGGAGCAGTAGCTGCTGAGAAGAGCTGAGAGTACCAGGGAGCAGGCAAACCCCACCAACAGTCCTCTTCCCCCAAGCCTGGCAGGTGGCCACCCCTGGCCAGCTTCACAATGGCTGCCCCAGGACCTCAGCTTCCCCACACTCAGAGGAAACTGGACAGACCTCCTGGAGGCCAGGTCTGTCTCGAGGCTGGTTAAGGCTCTAACGCTTGCTCTGCCACCTGTAGACTTAGGATGGGAGCGGGAGAAGCTGGGGGAGGAAGCCATTTAGCCTGGCTTTATAGGAACAAGGAGGGCCAGCTGCCCCCAGGTTAATTAGCTTAATTGTTAACCAGTTTCTGAAAAACCATAAAACTCCTGCTAAACAGAAAGGAAAAATACACAAGCCTCCCTCCCCAAAGCCTGGTGGAAGGCAAGCCCAGATCAGAGCCCAGGGGAGAGGCCTGGGGCGATTCTACACCAGAGCACCTGGGCAGATTCTTCCTCCTAACTTCAGGGAAGGCTGTCCAGGGACTCTCGGCTTAGGCCTCTCCAAGGAACCCAAGGCACAGGACACTGTTGGGGGTGCCAGCCCACCCCCATCTCTGGCTATCCCAGTTCCAGCTCCCCTGGGCTCTGATGGGTACGATCCCTTTCTCATGGGCCCACATGGAGAATAATCAGGAAGATAAATTTGCTCCCAAGAAAGAAACCGGCTCAAGGCCCCCAGACTCCCCGCCCACCATAGGATGCATTCCCAGCCCAAAGGGAAGCTATTTCTGGATTATCCTTGGGGGGAGGGGAAGGATCATCTGCGGTCCAGCTTCTGAATTCCAGTGGCACAGTCTCCTGCTGACCACAGGACCTGTCCTTGGGAGCCTGACCTTGGGAGACACAGGGGCTCAGGCCCACCCCGGGAATGGCTCCATTCATTCCCAGCCGGACTATAAAGGAAAGGAAACAGATCCATTCCCAGGCTGGAGAGGCTTCCTCTGGGGCTGCGCCAGGTAGAGATAGGACAGTCCAGTGTACTGAGTGTATCTTGTCCTATAGCAGAAGGTATCTAAGCTGAGGCCTGTGAAATTGTGGCTTCTTGGGAGGTGGCAAAAATTAACCATCAGGTCAGGACTTTGCAGATGAAAGAACCCTGTGGAATCTCAGGAGGGGGCAGGTATACGGAATGTGCATCACAAAGTAAGGGAGGGCTTGCCATGCTGGGCGGGGTCATCCCACTCTGCTTTCCCGTTGTAAAAGAGAGAGAGAGGAACAGGCACATCCGCTGTGAGTGAAAGGATCTGCGGTCAGCGACTTCCAAACCAAACACCAGAACCAGCCCTCCAGACCTCCGTCACCTTCTGGGGAGACTAAAAGGAGGGCGAGGGGTGTGTAGGGGAAGTTTGAGCCTTCACATTCTGGGGGAGCCAGATCAGAGGTGCGGCTCCCACTTTACCAGGAAAGAGCAGGTATCCTGCAGACATCCAGTACCCACTTGATCCGAGGCCCTGAAGCGGGTTCAGAGAAATAGGCCCAGGCTGGGAAAGCCCCAGAGGCTTCTGGGATTGGAAGAGGAAACAGACGCTGGGGCCTGCAGGATCTCTCCCAGAGCCAGCTGAGCATTCCAGGCTGGAGGAGCGCAGCACAAGCTCATAAATCAGCAGTTCCAGACTCCTAGGGGGCTCACTCCCCACCCTCGCTAGCCTGAGGTCACTAGGTCAGAAGTCAGAGGAAGTAGGAAGTGATTCCCTGGAAGGGGAGAGCAGCCTACAGATGCCAGGGAGGGGAAAAGTGGGCACAGGACTATCCGTGCCAAAGACCCCACACAGTTTCCAAGGTGACAAGACAGAACTGGGGGCTGAGAGGAGCTGAGAGCCCCACTCAGTGAGAAGGGCACAGACACTTTGCGCTGCCACCCACCCAAATGCTCCTCAGAACACCTGCTGCCCACCAGGGAGTATAACAGACCCTCCGTGTATTAGTGTGACTACGTTTTTATTTTATCTTACTTTATTTTTTCTGAGTCTGAGTCTCACTCTGTCGCCCAGGCTGGAGGGCAGTGGCATGCTCACGGCCACTGCAGCCTCGACTTGCTGGGCTCAGGTGATCCTTCCGCCTCAGCTTTCCAAGTAGTTGGAACTACAGGTACGCATCACCCCACCTGGCTAATTTTTTAAAAATTTATTGTAGAGATGAGGCCCTGCCAAGTTGCCCAGGCTGGTCCCGAACCCATGGGCTCAGGCAATCCTCTTACCTCGGCCTCCCAAAGTGTTGGGGTTATAGGCGTGAGCCACCGCGCCCAGTGTTACTGCGTTCTTAAAATTTTGCTCAAGTAATCTGTGCTCACCGTAGAAAAAGCAAAGGAAAAGCAAAGGAAAATCTTCCCTAGATCCCGCCACCCAGATAGCCATGGCTACGTGTTGGTGCACGTGCTGCCCACCTTCTTGCCATGGCATCATGTGAGTGTGGGAATGCAGAGCACTTCCTTACCACCCCAACCTAGAGGCCACCTGAATGGTAAGTGGAATGTCCCCAGTTGACAGATGAGGAAACAATGATCACAACAGTTAAGCAACTTCTTCCAAGGTCACCAAATAGGAAGTGGCAGGATCCCAGGTCTGGCTAATCCCCATATCTAAGGACTTTGGGAAGCAGTGAAGGATGGTCTATAGGATAGAGGATGGCTGACTCTATCTCTGCAGGTAAAAGTTGGGGCCATGCAGACACACACTTCCACGTGCCAGCAGCTTGGAGCCAATCGGGCCTGGCGTCTGGCCATGGCTTACAGGTTGCTGGTGAAGCCTGACTGGGCAGGGCTGGTGGCCTGTGCGTGGACCTGCCGCTCAGGGGGTGGAGCTCCAGAGCCGGAACCAAGGTGTGCAGGCCCAGCTTCTGCACCTCACTCCAACCAACCCACAGCCCAGGTCAAGGCATAGGAAAACACCACTTGAAGAGGTTGGGTGGACAGGTCTGGGCCTGGCTGGACTCCCCTCCAGATAGACCCTCAGCTCCACTCACCTCAGACAGGCAGACTCTCTGCAGAGAAGCTTTGGGAAGCCAGGCCTGGCGCTGCCTAGTGTGGAACAGTGCCCACCTACTCAGTCCACTCCTAGAGGGATACAGGTATGTAAGGGAAAGAGCCCTGGGCTGGGGGCCAACAGGTCAGGGCTTGCCAAGCCAGGTGGTCTCCTGAGACAGCTCCTCAGTAAAGGGGGATGGCACTCCCTCCTGCACAGGTCCCCTGGAAGGAGCGGGGGCTTGGCATGGAGCAGGCAGTGTCCTACGATGGGGATATAGCAGTGACAGGGAAAGACAGCTGCTTCACAGGACATACGTCAGAAAATGAGGTGATTTCTGACAGTAATCAGGGCCATTAAGAGAAGAAAGGAGGATGCAAAGATCGAGAGTCCAGGTTTAGCAGTCAGAAGGTCTCAGTGACCATTCCTCCTGCCCGGGTCACTTTTCCTTCAGATACCCACCTGCACCCCCTCCCTGGAGCTGCAGCCTCCCAGGACATCCCCTCTCCTCCTTCCCTGCTCTGCTTTTCTTCTTGGCATTTGCCATGTGCCAACATACTGATTTCCTGTGTGATCCTCCACAAGAAGCTGCTTTCTTCTCATTCAGGGACTTTCGTCCCCTTCTTCACTGCTGAGTATGCATAGCAAGATATCTGTGAGCCGGGCTCGGTGGCTCAGCCTGTAATCCCAGCACTTTGGGAGCCCGCAGGTTGGAGACCCGCCTGGGCAACTTGATGAGACCTCATCTCTACAACAAATCAAAAATTAGCCGGGCGTGGTAGCACGCGCCTGTAGTTCCGGCTACCTGGAAGGCTGAGGCGGAAGGATCGCCGGAGCCCAGCAGGTCGAGGCTGCGGTGGCCGGGAGCGGCCACTGCACTCCAGTCTGGGCGACAGAGTGAGACTCCAACTCAAAAATAATAATAATAATAATAAAAAATAAAATAAAATAAAAAGTCTTCCCCATCTGAACTTGTCCTGACCATTTTCGGGGTCCTCCCTCGGCGCTGGACTGCACCTTATGTTAGAATGACCCCTTAAAACTGCAGTGGATGGGGACAGCCACCCAACCCCCTGAATGTTCACCCTGGCCTAGTCATGCTGTTCATCAGGCTGGTGGGAAAAAGTAGAAGTGACCTAAATGGCCAGCAACAGGGGACAAAAGTGTGCTCAGGCCCACGATGAAAGGCTTGCAGTTACTGAAAGAGCAAAAGGCTATTTGAGGACACGGAAGCATATGTACAATGTGTGCCAGAGTCAGGTAGGATCTATCTAAAATGCTTACACACCTAGACAACATACTGGAAAGGTTATGGGATTAGTGGTGATCTTTTTTTTCCCCTTCTTTTTGTTTATCTGCCTCCCAGGCAGGAAAGATAAGAGGATCAAATGGGAGAAGGGACCGGGCCCTTCTCCCATTTGAGGGGGGAGGGTGGGCCTAGCTCAGTCCCATGGGTGAATTGCTCCTGGGATCTTAGGGTTCTCAAGGTGCCGGGTTCCTCTCCAGCCTGGATTACAGAGGTACCCCCTATAGACACCAAATAGGTACAAAGGCCTGGAAAACAGAGTACACAGGTGAGTCGAACCAACTATATGACCTTGGGCTTCAGGGTCCTGGCACCCGGGGGAAAAAAGGATGTTACTATCTCTCAGGCTATATCCCAGTGGAGTTGTTGTGAGGCTTTAAAGGAGGGAGGGTCTGCAAGTGTTTGACAACCTCTCAGGTGCTACACACTTTAGTGATGTACCTGGTAGGAACGTGGGAGAGGACAGTGGTAGAAGAGACATGTTCGGGAGCTTCACAGGCTAAGAAGCCCCCTAAGTCCCCAAGTCTCACCCAGGAAGGGTCTAGGGCAGTCATTGGGGGCACCACCTGGCTGTGGCACCACCCCTGAGATGGAGACTTCCTAAGAAGGAACACCTTTTCTACCCTCCTAACTTTTTTTTTTTTAGTTGGAGTCTCACTCCGTCACCCAGACTGGAGTGCAGTGGCTGCTCCCGGCCACCG